GGGAGGGGTGGCCAGCAGGCCCGGGCTGGGCTAGTGCAGCCCAGCAGGCCCCACATCCGGGCGAGACCCGGGCAGCTGTGTCCCCTGGGCAGCCCTGAGCCTCACAGGAGAGGGTACAAGTCACCAGGGGGAGGGGTGCAGTGGGCAAAACCAAGTGCACAACCACAACGCCCCCAAGTTACTCACATGCTCTCATTCCTCTCCCTGGTGGCCCCTCCCTTCCATCTTTCAATGGATATTTGTTGAGCACCTACTGTGTGCTAGGGTACAGCAGCGACAGGTCCCTGCCTCTCAGGGCAAGGGACAGATAATAAACAGCAAACAGACACACAGGTGCAGTTGTTTTAGAGCCTGCAAGTGCTGGGAAGGCTGTGGGCCAGGTGATGAGGCAGAGAGTGACTGAAGACCCTTCCACCCTGGAGGGTTGGAGAGGCCTCTCTGGGGAGGAGTCGTTTGCACCAGGGCGTGGGGGACAAGAGGTAGACAGCCACGCAAAGGCACCGGCGACCCCCCAGAGAGGAGGGCTGACGGAAAAAATTCATGATGCGCGGTTAACTCTGAATTTAAGATAAAGATAAACCACAAATAATTTTTGAGCATATGCAGGTCCCACACAATATTTTGGGCCTACTTACACTATAAAGTTAACTGTGGTTTGTCTGAAGTTCAGATTCTTATTTGCTAAATGTGCCACACCTATCGGAGAGTGGAGGTGACTGGCCCAGGTCTTGAGCAGCAGAGCTGAGCCCACACCCTGGCGGCAGTCTCCCTGCCAGTCTCTCCCCTGCAAACTGTTTCCACTCTGAGCCCTCTGAGCCGGCCTCTGCCTGCCCTACCCTGTTCTGTGGCTCCCTGCACGGAGGCCAGCAAGGCCTGGTGCTCTGGTCCTTGCCCACCGACCAGCGTGACAGCCCGACCACCTCCCGGCCCATCACTTGATAGCTGTTCCCCAGCCTTCAAGCCCCACCTTGGGTGTCACTGCCTTGAGAAACCTTCCTGCAACTCCAGGCGGTCCCCACTCTCTGAAGACTATCAACTCTTCACTTAAAAAAAAAGTTAGTCATTTTTTAATTGTGGTAAAATATTTATGTTTATTTTAAAATAATTTACCACTTTAACCATTTTTAAATGTACAGTTCAGTGGCATAAACGCTCACAGTGTAGTGCAACCATCACCACCATCCATCTCCAGAATTCTTCATTATCCCATGGAAATTGCCCATTAAGCCCTAACTCCCCTTCCCCTCCTCCCAGCCCCTGGGAACCACCATCTACTTCTGTCTCTACTCCAGGTAGCTCGCACAAGTGGCATCATAAGTATTTGTCCTCCTGTGACTGGCTTCTTTCACTGAGCATAATGTCTTTGAGGTTCCTCTGTGTCAGAATTTCCTTCCCTTTTAAAGGCTGAATAATATTCCATTGTACGGATACACCACATTTTGTATATTTGCTGCTGGACACCTGGATTGTCTCCACCTTTGACTGCTGTGAACCATGCAGCTGTGAATGTGGCTGCACACGTATCTTTCCATTCTCTTGGGCACAAACCCAGGAGTGGAATTTCTGCATCGTACGATAACTCCGTGTTATACTCTTTTTGGAAACTGCTGTACTGTTTCCCACAGCAGCTGAACAATTTTACTGCCACCTCCACATCTCACTTTTAGAGTAATATTTGGATATATTATCTGTAGATTTTGGCCTCTCTCTTTCCCCTTCCCGTTCCCTCTCCTCTTTTTAGCACACTCCTGCCTCCGTGCCTCAAGGGAGGTGTGTGGCTTAGCTCAGGGCTGCTCAAGACTTCCTCACTTGTTCTTCCAAAACCCAAAGGAGAACTTGTAGAGTGTGGGGAAGGGGCAGGAGGCAGGGAGGAGAGGGTGGGGCTGCCAAGCTCCCACAGCCGAGGGTGCTGAGCTCTGCTCCGGGCGGGACTGGGGTCTGACCCCAAGAGGGGTGGCCGTGTGGAGTTCCTGGCCCACCAAAGCCCCCAGGGCTACTGGAAGGAGTCAAGGGCCACTAGTCTAAGGACTCAAGCCCTTGTGGCCCACAGGCTCAGGGGAGGGGATCCATCCATCTCAAAGGCCCAGACAATGTGGAGGCAAACCCCTGGGTAGGGATGGCCCCCAAGAACACAGAAGTAGCATTTCTAGCCTCTCTGAGCTCCTGGGCCAAGATGCCTCCCTCCACACCTGTTGCACTGACACGTCCATCTGTCCGTCATGTGTGGGTTTGCAGTGCCTACCTGGCTGTGCCCCCTCCCAGGGGGTCTTGTCTGCTCTCCCTCACAGCTGCCTGGGGACCCTGTGTCCTGCCTGGGGACCCTGTGTCCCACCTGGGCCAGCCTGGTGGCTACTCAGGTCTCCTTATCCTCAATCCAGATGCAAGCACCTCAAGGATGAGGCTTTTGAATTTCCCCTGGGAGATGTGGGCCGCGGGAAGGTTCCCCTGGGTGCTGCACCAACACCCGGTTCGTTCCATTTCAGCCTGTTAGCTTTCAACTTCCAGCCTCACATCCTCGTCTCTCTGTCTTCTCTGCTGCTCACTCCTTCCCTCTCCGTGTCTCTGTCCATCTGTCTCTCTCTGTCCATCTCTTCGTCCATCTCTGTCTCTCTGCCTCAGCCTATCTCCCTCCATCTCTGATTCTCTGCTGATTTTCTGGCCATTTCCCTGTCATATTTACAATAACAGAAAGCACATCGCAGGCCAAGCCCCCATCCCGGGCCCTCTGTGCTCACAGCCCTAGAGGGAGGGTGCTGTGGTTTCCATGTGGTTGAGGGTTGAGTCACAGCCTGGACCTGATTCTGTGCTCCCTTCTCCTCATACGGTGCATTATGCATGCACTCCTGCTGCCGGTATCTTGGGAGTAGGGAAGGGCATTCAGATCAGTGTCTCTGTCCTGCCCACTGAGTGACCATGGCACAGGGTCACACTTTTTGGGCAAAACAGGGGACAGCCTGCTGTGCTGGTGCTGCAAGTGGCCAGCACTCTCCCTGAGAAAAGGCAACACCAGGACTCGTCAGCTAAACGCAGACCTGGGGGAAGCTTCTCACCCCCACCCCAGAGCACCCAGTGCTGCATGCTCCCCAAATGGGGTGTCCCCACAAGACGCTCCTTCTTGGGAGGATGGGAGAGCAAAGCTCAGGACCTCAGGGCCCCAGTCAGCTTTGGGCCAGGGCCCAGGCCCCCTGCAATCACAGGGAGGGGCGTCTTCCCACCCAGGAGGCCAAGCCAAGGGAAACAGGCACTGTCACGGTGGTCATCTCCCGGAGCCAGAGGGGCATTTGGAGAGAGAGAGCAGCCAGGAGGACTGTCCCTCAGGGTCTCGCCTCAGTGCTGGCATGGCAGCTTGTCAAATGCGTCTCAGTGATCCTGCCTCCTGGTACCCAGGCCCTTGTAGAGTCCCCTCCCCTTGAGTGTAGACTGGACCTAGTGACTTCCTTCTAATGAACAAAATGTGGCAAAAATTATGGGATGTCACTTCTGAGAGCAGGCAGCAAAACGTCTCTGGTTTCCATCATGCTCACCTTCTCTTGCCCCCTCACCTACTTGCTCTGATGGAAACCAGCTGCCACGTCTACTTGAGGCCCACATGACAAGGGACTGGAAGAAGGCTCCCTAAGGCCAACATCCAGGGAGGACGGGGCCCCAAGTCCAGCAACCCCCACTGCGCTGATTCTGTTGACACCCACTCAGGTGAGCTTGGAAGCAGACCTCCCTCGGTCGAACCTGGAGATGAGACTGCAGCCCCAGCCAGCATGTAGATTGCAGCCTTAGGGGACCCCACAAGCTGGAGGGTCCAGTTAAGCCATGTCCTGGTTCCCAGATGACAGAAACTGTGAAGTCACAGATGTTGTTTCAAGCTGCTAGATTTTGGGGTAATTTGTTATGCAGCCACAGATAACTGATACAACTACATACCATACTGTGTTTTGAAGTCATGTCCTGTATTTTGTGAAATTCTACAATAGGAAGATTAACCTATGGTGGAAGAAAATCAGAACAGTGTTTGCCTCCTGGGAGTAGGGGAAGGACTGCCTGAAAAGAGGCATGAGGAAACTTTTTGGGATGATATTAACATCCTTTATTCTGACCGTAGTTTGTGTTACACATTTATATGCATTTTTCAAAGTTCAGCAAATGACTGTCAAGTTTCGTGCATTTCAGTGTATGTAAATATCACCTCCCAAACAGTAAACGCTGAAGTGTTTAAGGTGAATTGGACTGATGTCATCGATTTACTTCGAGATGCATCAAAAAATAAGACGGATTGATGGATGGATTTGATAAGGCAAGTATTATGAAATGTCAATGGGAGAATTCTACTGCTAATACCATATGAGTGTTCCTAAAAATTCTTTCAACTTTGCTGTGTGTTTGAAATTCTCATAATAAAATGTTGAAAAAAATCACTCATTTAGCAAATACAGAGTGCTTAATGGGAGAAAATTAGAATAATAGCATTGCGGTCTGGATAGTAATTCTAATCAAGGTTTATTATATTAGGCACCTGATGAGGCTCTTGCAGATGTGTTATCTCATTTCATCCTTGGGGCCAGTGCGCAGGAAGAGGTGATGGTTCCCAGTTTACCGATGAGGACACTGAGTCCAGGGGACTCACTTAATCAAGGTCATGAAGCCAGGGAGCAGCAGACCTGGAAGTTCCCTGGGTTTAAGTGCTCAGAAGGGTTGAGCTGCATCAGTCTAGGGGTGTCATGTCCCTCTGTGCCTCAGTTTTCCAGCCTCTGAACTGGAGATGCAAACTGTCGAGTGAATAGATCGGGTAACAGCGGCTACATTTCTCGAGGGCGGCTCCGCACAGTCTCCGTGTTTTAGCTGCGAGAAGTAGCGGGAAAGCACGGAGACCCTCCAGTGCGTGAACTTCACCTCTGTGGCCCTGCTTCCTCCACCAGGGTGGGCGCACAGGAGGTGGCTCGGGACAGGGAGGCGCGTCCCCTTCTGGGCTTGTCCTCCCTGAGAGGCTGGCCTCCTCTCCTTTGCAGCACCCGGGTCCAGCCGGAGGGACGAGAGGTGGGACTGGGGGGCCTGGGCGCAGAGGGACGGCTGCTGGTTGAGCACGTCCAGTGCGGCCCTTCACCTGCAGCTCAGCCTGGTGAAGTGGGGATTCTTATTCCCACTTCTGTGGACAAGGAGATGGAGGCTCAGAGAGATGAGTGACCAGTCCCGGGCCTGCCACCCATTGGGGGCAGCACCAGAATCCTGGCCAGACCAGCCAATACTGCGGTCTGTGTTATTTCTGGCTGTTTCCACAGGGTTTAAGATGTGAGTGAAAAAGCTGTCCTTCCCAGATGGGTGTGGGCTTCTGAGTATTCTCAGCAGCTAATTACTGGGCTCTCCTGTGCTCACAGCTTCCCCACTGATCTTTAACCCTAAAGCCCCAGAGGCTCAACTCTCAGGTGGGGTGACCAGAGGAGGACAGTGCAGAGGAGGAAGCAATTTTTCTCTGGAGGGCAGGGCAGTGACCTACCGCGGTCAGAGGGCTGGACCAGGCTGTGGGAAATGAGAGGCTTTGACAAGGATGCCCTGGGCCACCGGTGGCCCTTTGCACCCCATTCCAGGGGCCCTTCTTCTGCAGCAATGGATGGAGCGAGGACGTGACCTCAGCCCCCAGCGCGGGCCCCGCTTCCCTCTGGAATTTATGATGTGTGGAGAATGGAACGGGAGGAGAGTAGATGATGGACTTTCAAGTGGCACTTCTTTTCCCAAGAACCTGCCCCCACTGCGGCCGCAGAGTTAATGCAGAGCGGGCACAGTCCCAGGACTCCATTTCCCGAGGCGGGTTTGCAGCCCCAGTGCAGCCGGGCGGGCTCCTCTGCCAGCCGGGCTCTTCCTGGAGCGAGGCCGGGCTGGGTGCCCCTGCCCTCACCACCTCCCATCCCTGCAGCTCTTCTGGGTGTGAGGTCAGCTCCGACATTTTATTTTAGTGGGTGGGAATCAGGCCCAGGATGGGAGTGGGGGGCAGAGACAGCATTCCAGATCAAAGGGCAGAATCCTCAGCCTGTCTGTCAAGGCTTTTCCCAGACTGGGCCACCTTCCCTGAACCTCCACCTGGGATCAGCCACGCCCTCCTCTGGGCTCCCGAGGCCATCCCCTCTGGCCCTGTGCCCCGGGATGTGTCAGGGTGGGTGTCCTGTGTGAGTCTGAATCCCCTGAGACCGCGCAGGAGCGGAGAGACTGGGCGGCCCCGCAGTGCTGGGTGCACAGAAAGCTCTCAAGGCCATGGTTTGGTCGAGGAGGCTGAGCGGCAGGTTGGAGAGAGAGAAGGGAATGGTGAGGCTTAGTTTAAGAAATCAGCCCACGTGCCTGTGGGGGCTGGCAAATCCCAAATCCGTAGGGCAGGCTGGAGACTCAGGCAGGACCTCTGCGTCCCAGTCTTGAGACACGGCCCCTTTGTCTCTGGAAAGCCTGTTTTTTGCTCTTAAAGCCGGACTGATTGGCCTGCCCACTGTGTGGAGGGCAGGGCGCCCTCCTTCACTCAAAGTCAACGGATCGTTAATCACACCCACAAGGTACCTTCAGAGTGATGTCAGATAGCGTTTGACACCACAGCCCAGCCAGGTTGACACGTGAAGTCGACATCACAACTGGGTGGAATATGCTCGCCTGTAGCACGTTCGCCACGCTGTGTCACCACATGGCGTCCTCGCTGGCCGGCGGGCTAAGGACACCGCTCTTACCGCGCAGCTGGGAGGGTGGGGGAGGACGTGTGGGTCAGCTCCCAGCCCGGGGACCTTCCCTGTCCCTGCAGGCTGTGACCCATCAAAGGTGGGGGTCTGGAAACCCATCCTCTGGCCTGACTTGTCACTGCAGACCCTGTCCTGGCAATGTCTCCAGCCGCCTGTGGTAGGTCTCATTGCTGAGAGAAGTCTGCCGTGACTACAGACTGTGGCCTCCTGAGGACATGTTTGCAGCCTGAGGACTCCAGAGACCAGCAAGCAAGGTGTCGTTCAGGCTGTGGAGATGAGGCTTTCCTGCATAGGGCAGCTTGGAAGTTCTGTCAGCTCTGGGCCACCTGCCCACCTCCGAGTGTGCCTGGGCCCCCCCCCGCCAGGTGGGCTGCGCTGCCCTCTGGAGTCCCACGTGCTTGGACTGGGGCCAGGCCTGCCTGATACTCTGTCTCCAGCTCAGTGGACCCTGGGATCCCTGGGTCAGGTGCTGCCCAACAGGCCTGGAACCTCGGTCTGCAGGGGCCGTTGCCTGAGTCAGCACAGCCCCTTGGTCCACTGAGACCCTCAACCCCTCGTCCTCCACTGAGACCCTCAACCCCTCGTCCTGGGCTTGCCTGTTTCTGCGTCTGCGACCCAATACCCAGGAGCTCCTGAAGAGTAGGGTGACGCCTGAGTGGTCTGGGGATTCGGTGGCCCGTGTCGGGCCTGGCTCAGAGCAACGACAAGGCAGGGATGGGAAGAGGGATCTTTCTCAGACCATCATCTCAATGGCAATTCCAGCGAGTCCCTCGGGCTCTGTGACCCGTGGTCCTGCCTCCTGAGAGCCAGGCTGGATAAAAACCCCTTAAAGTCACCTGCCACCATTATACATGTCATACTAAATCGTGCAATAATTCTAAGTGAGACTTTAATCCTGGCAGTATGGTAGGCCCGCGGACGAGTTAAATAACACCAGCTGCTGTAGCAGGTAAACCCTGAAGTTCCAGTGACTTTTTCCTGTTCATCTCACATCTGGAACGGTAGGCAGTTCCCCTTCAAGCAGTGATCAGGGATGTAGGTGCATAAACCTTATGGCTCTGCCATCTTCCCCTGTGGATCGTGTGGGAGGTTTTCATGGGCCTCACCTGGAAATGGTCCCACCGGGCATATAACCGTGCCTAGCTGGGAATGTGGTCTAGGTGTGAGCCCCAAAGGAAGCAATGGTTCAGTGAATAGTGAGATCTGTTCTGCTACAGTTAGATCTTCAAGGTTGGGGGGGGGAGCACTTCCACTACATAAACACCGAAAAATACAGGCTCAATTACCACAGACTTCTTTATTCAATGCATAGCTAAGTTTGCAAGGAAGGAAAATTCTTGAAAGCCAGGAATGACCTGGGAGGTGACACCACAACCAAAAGCAAATGCTGACCTCTGGATGCCTCGAGGAATTTGCCAACAGGAGCCTAGAACTTTGGGTTTTAACAACAACGCAGACACTATCTTATCTAGAGCTCATGAGAGCGTGGGAAGTGGGAACGGGAAGTGAGATTCTTATCTCAAGCTGGGACCCTCCAGGGAGGTACCCTCAGCATAAGGGTGGGCTATAAAAATCAACCTTTGAGCCAAGGACATTCATTTCATTTGTCCAGGGCTCTGCAATGAATGAGGATAAAAAGATTTCCTCCTGAGAATGTCAGTTTAGGCTGATCTTCACTAGGCATTGGGGTTTCAATTTGTGAGATCAGTGATCCAAAAACCCCAAGCCAAGACATTAACCTAAAGTGATGTTAGGTTGGTAGACCTGGGCAGGGCACACGGCCGGAGCACACCCACATCTTCTGGGTCCTTCTGGGTCCCTGCAGAGTTTCATTAGGCTCACAGTCTCAAATTGCAAAACACAGGCGAAAACAATCCATGATGAGTCAGAGTCAGCAGAAACCACACATGCAAAATGAGATCAAAAAATTTCAGCTGTTTGAATGATCAGAACTAGAATGAAAAATAAGTAACTTAAAAATGTTTCAAGAAAGAAGACTTGAGAACACAGACAAGGGGGAGAAAAGGGTATAAAATTGATCAGGGGGATATGAAAAAGAGCCAAATAGAATTCCTAGAAATGAAAAATGTAATAACTTGAAACACCAAACTCCATGGATGGGCAGAACAGCAAATAGACCCAGTTCAGGAGGGAATCAGTGAACGAGAAGATGGAGCAGAAGCAATTATCAGAATGCATAACACAGAACAGAGGGTAAGACAGAAAATAGGAAATGGAGGCTGGGACGAGAAAGTTAGGGTAAGAAATACGCACACCCTACCTGGGGTGACAGAGGGAGAGAACAGAGACTGGGACAGAGTCGTTATTCAACAAAGTGATGGCTGAGGATTTTCCAGAATTGATGAAAGACAGGCATTTCAGTTGAAGGTGCACAATAAATCCTGAGCAAGGGATTAAAAAAAAAATCCACACCTGAACCCATCAGAGTGGTGCAGAATAGCAAAGAGATTCTACAAGAAACTGGAGAGATGAGAAAACGACCCAGCTGTGAATGGCAATTTGATTGAAGGCCAACTCCTTGAGGGCAGATACAGGCCAGGAACCTGGAAATGATATTGTCAAAGACCAAAATGTGAGTCCGTTAATTGTCCACCAGGAGTCTGTATTAAGTAAAAGTATCTTTCAAGAACAAGATGAAGACATCTTCAGACAAAACCAAGATAGGGTAGGTCTCACAGCCCCTCACAAGAGCCACTTCTAACGGAGGAAGGAGGGGGAAGAGACAGCTCAGCGGGCGGGGAGGTCTCACGTACATGGACTTGATGGAGTGATCCTAACCATGTCTAATCTGGGGGATAAAACAGATAAAATGTCCAACAAGATTCTGGTACTTCCCATGATGATGATTTCGATGCCTTCTGGAGAAAGAGTAAATGTCAATTCCTATCAGAAATTTTTTCCTTTTTGCCTGAACCCCGGGTGCACACTTTGTCGACCTGCAGGATGATTCAGCACCTGGACAGGAGCCCAGAAAGCGCTCTCAGGCCCCAAACTCTTGGCCAAAAGAGAGAATCTCCAGGACGCTGGGTCCCCTCGTGCTGGTCTTCCCACAGCCCAGCCCAGTGGTTCTCACCTGAGTCACCTGGGGGCTTTTTACCACCTGCATCTGATTCAGCCTGAGGATCTGTATTTCTAAAAGTTCCCAGGTGCTGCTCGTTGCAGACCACAGTTTGACAACCACTAGCCTAATAATCCCAAGTCTTTCCGGCCTGTTGCAGGGTTAACACCCCTCTTCCAGGAAGCCTTCCAGCATGCACACACACCTCATCGAGCAAGGACAGCACACCCATCACCCACACACACACTCATACACAGACACACATGCTATTTCTCTACATCAGAGTTGCCACCTCTCCTCTGCCTCTTAGAAGCCTTCTTGAGTACCCACTGTGTGCCAGGCTTGGCACTGGACTCTGTTGGTCCTCCTGCCGCTTGCTTGTGACATGTAGG